CCTTATTTTGCAAATTTTATGTTCACTTCGGTTCCAATCTTTGCATAATTCTTTTCATTAACCTTGGGAACATCATTTGCAAAATTTTAGATTCTCATTTTTCTGAATAAGAATAATTAAATCTTATCATTCTTTTAATGAGATAACCTATGCCTATGGGTTGATCAGCATACAACAAATATATTACCTTTACAGCGTCATTCAAGAGATCATCAACACATACCCAACCATACATGCCAACACTTTTAATTTATTCTGATTAATTATGTCAAGTTCGACTAGCCGAAGTGGGAGAAAGTTCCTGAAATTTCCTTTTGATATCTTCTACTATATTTTACTATAATGAAGTGTATTTATTCAAAATGTCCTTCAAAAAATGCAATCCTATCGTACGCTGCAGTAATTTTATTTGTATTTATACATACCGACGAAAATTCATCACATTTCCGTTTTTCTATTGCTCGGTATTCCGGAGAACTTCTGAAGAACTTCATTTTGTCAAAGACTTTTTGTTCTAAATTGACAATTTAATTAAAACGTTATATTATTCTTTCACTATTCGGTATTTCATTTTGTTTCTTCCTGACCCTGCATTTCACCCATATCATCTTCTGGCGTCCATTCAATTTCGTCATGCTCTGATTGAGTTGTCTGTTCGAAACGAGCTTCCAGAACACCTATACGAAAGATATAATTATTCATTATATCTAAGAGTCATCCACATTTTTTAAAATAAAATAGCACAAAGTATAGTGTTGAAAATACAAAACAAAGTAAAACGAATCAAATCAGCTTTTACTTCATTTAAACTATTCAGCCTCATTTTTAATGTTAGTTTGCATGTTCATCGACCCATATACTCACTTTTAGCAATAATTTTAATGATAACAAGGCCAAGACAATTTATCTCTGCCCAAGCATATCTTGGAAAGATTTGATAAAATGAACTATTGACGTGACCTGTTAAAGTCTCTAGAACAATTATTTACGTCAAAAATTCTCAAAAAAACGTAAATTCTGAAAAATCGTTTCAAGATATTGTGAAATAAAAGAAATGATAGAAGAAAACATTTCATATAGAAAAAGAAGGCTAAATCCAATTTAAGAATTCAATTTGTGTTGGAAGCATGATATTCCGATCTTTTCTAATTCTTAATGGCAAAAATCTCAATAATACTTAAATTGCGGTAGAGATAGATGAAATGAATGAGAAACAAAGTGGATTTCAATTAAAATAAAATCTCTGACCAACAAAATACAGCTTAGGTATCATCTCGGTTAACAACAGCCTTTTGCTAGTGATCTGAGGAATACTTCTTTTTTCCTTCATAAGATAGAAATGCTAGTCAAAGATAATCAACAAACAATCGATTTGTTTTTGATAATGCTTTTCACTACTTACAGTCATCATATCTGAAAATTCTCTCAAATACAACTTCAATTATACTTGAAGTGTTCAGCCATCAGAGTAAATTGGGTCAGAAAGATTAGTAATAGTGATTGATTTACAGGTGTCACAAAATATTCTCTCATGTGCAATGGAAAACAAATTCAAAGTAAATTGTTCTTGATGGAAATATTTTCGTTAAACATTAATCCGAATATTAAATGAATAAAGGTAATTAATCATTATGAAATAACTTTAGCAAAATACTGCATTGCTTTCAGGAAAAAGCAAACGAACAACGAACCGTCCCATACTGGCATTGTCATAATTTCGTTTTTCACGTTTAGTAGATTACCGCTTGCCTCACAATGTTTCTAAAATGTGCACTTTGGCTTTTGAACTTTGATCATCACAAAATAGAGCTAATATTTCAGTGTAATATTGTCTCGTCCCGGAATTAATCACTGTCTTACCGCCGCTGCCATTGGTACGATAATTTGGCGCCAATGTGATCGAAGATTTTTCCACATGAATAAAATAATCGCAACCCAAATGAATACGGGTATTAGCATCCAATAAATAATCAACATGAAAATCCATATTCTGCAGAAATGGCTTTTTTTAATATCTCTCATTATTTTCATGGAATCGAAAATAAATTGATGAAAATCAATTCAAAACTACGAGTTAATTAATAAAGACAAACATGCTGCCATTGTCAGTTTGTTTGTTGATCATTTGGATAGTTTCTGCAACATATTTCAAGCAGTATAGTTTTGTTGCAATATAACTGAAAATGGAAGCGAAATTGAAATCAATGATTCATTGTAATGAATTACTGAAGAAATTTATCGAAATTAACTTCTCCTCTCTCTTACATGTAATCTTGGGCATTTTTATTCTTAATTTTTCGAAGAAATATCACA